TGCACTCCAGCCTGGGTAACAAGAGTGAAACTCCGTCACAAAAAAAAAAAAAAAAAAAAAGAGGGGAACGCCCACATTGGAAGGTGGATGAGATCACTGGGAGTGAGGGTATATAAAGTGGTACATACAGAAACTTAGGTGGAGCCCTGGGTCACACCAACGTTTAAGTGGCAAGCAGAAGATGACGGTGGAAGAGACAGTCTGCGGAGGAGTAATCAGGGTGGAACTGCGGGGATCTTCTCTGTGACTGGTACAGGAAGGTACTTCTTGGTTGCTGAGTGGTTTCTGGAGGAGATACATGTAAGGTGAGTAGAAACCTGGCACTTCTTTCTAATGTGTTAGAATCTTTATTTCCTGCAGGGAATCACTTCAGTCACTGCCATTACAGTGCTGTACTTCTTTTCCCGGAGAATTCCCCTTCCTAGAAGGACCAAGATGGCAGCAATGACACTGCTGGCTTTGGCGTATACACAGGTATAAACCACTTCTTTGTGGTCTGACAGTATCCCCAGTACAAAGTTAAAAAGAGGCTGGGCACAATGGCTCATGCCTGTAATCCCAGCACTTTGGGAGGCTTAGGTGGGCAGATCACTTGAGCCAGGAATTTGGGACCAGCCTGGGCAACATGACAAAACCCCATCTCTACCAAAAATACAAAAATAGATGGGCATGTGGGTGTGTGCCTGTAGTCCAAACTACTTGGGAGGCTGAGGTGGGAGGATCACCCAGGCCAGGGAGGTTGAGGCTACAGTGAGCCAAGATCACACCACTGCACCCCAGCCTGGGCAACAGAGTGAGATCCTGTCTGTTAAAAGGAAAAAAAGGAAAGGTGACAGACTAGGAGAAAATATTTTCCATACTTACAATAAATTAAAAGATTAGGCCAGGTGTGGTGGCTCACGCCTATAATCCCACCACTCTGGGAGGCCCAGGTGGGTAGATCACAAGGTCAGGAATTCGAGACCAGCCTGCCCAATATGGTGCAACCCTGTCACTACTAAAAATACAAAATTTAGCTGGGTGTGGTGGTGTGCACCTGTAGTCCCGCTACTCAGGAGGCTGAGGCAGAAGAATTGCTTGAACCCAAGAGGTGGAGGTTGCAGTGAGTCAAGATTGTGCCACTGCACTCCAGCCTGGGCAACAGACTGGGACTGTGTCTCAAAAAACAAAAAAGATTAATAACCAGAAAATAAGTAAAGGACATCGGTACACAATTACCACAAAAAGAATGATGAATGGCCAGGAAACATGAAAAGCTATTCAGTTTCCCTGATAATCAGAGAGGAGCACATTTTAAATGAGTACCATTTTGTTCCTATCAAATTGGGAAAAAATGAGAAAATGATAATTAGGTATTGCCATGGGCATAGGGAAATGGATACCTTCAAATATTCTTGGTGACAGCATGTCGGTACAGTTTTTTTCAGAGAGGAATTTGGCAATATCTTTTAAAAGTTAAATGGATAATCCTTTGGCCCAGCAAATGGACTTATTAGTGTCTGTCCTAGAAACAGCCTAATTCGCAAAGATCTTTTGTATGAGGAAATTCATCATAGAATTGTTATAGTGAAAAATTGGAAACAACTTAAATAGTTAAACAACTATGGTATATCCATACTGTGGAATATACTGTACAGCAGTTTAAATAAGATCTCGAGTTCTTGGAACAAAAAAACAAAAGAACAAAAAAAGGAAAAAAAGAAAAAAAAGATCTCAAAACATACTGTAAAGTGGAAAAAGAGCAAGTGACACAGAACAATGTTTTTTCAAAAGCACAAAACTGTGTATTTTTCTATAAACATACTAAAGTGTAAGTACAAAACTGGTAACAGTGACTATTTTGGGAAATTGGGATGGAATGAAGGATATTAAGGGGAATTTTAGGTTTACCAATTTTGTTCGAATTTCTTTCATTGTAGCATATCTGCTTGTGAAATTAAAAATGTGTGTATTTTCACTGCCCTGATGGGAGGATGTAGAGGTTGGTGTGTGGTTATCGGCGCCTGGTGATTTTCAGTGTGAACTTTTGGCTACTGCCTTTCCTATTGCCTTCTTTCCTTCGTGACAGGTTGGCTTGGGCATTAGCACACTGCTGATGTACGTCCCAACTCCTCTGGCTGCCACTCACCAGTCAGGATCCTTGGCTTTGCTCACTGGTGCTCTTTGGCTGATGAATGAACTCCGAAGAGTCCCAAAATGATTCTCAGAGGACCAGCTTCCTGGGACTATAACCGTGCTTTTGAGAGCTCATCAGAGAGCATAAGAACTGGGGTTTTTGTATGAGATGACCTTGACATATCAAGTGGTTTCCAAATGGTCAGCTTATTTAAAAATCTTTTCTTGTTTTGAGATAGTCACTGGATCAAGAATGCATTAAGTATGGTTACCCTAAAGGTTCCTTTTTAAATCTGCTTTTCATGTTGAAAATCAGTTTTAATGTAGAGAGAGAAATGTCTGCCATTTGCTGCGTAACAGGTTTTGTGTCAGGATTTTCAGTGTTGGCAATCTCTTGGTTCCACATATATGATTTCTATCTCCTTGTTCTCCTGAGTCCTTAATTCTGCCTAAATAGAATTTCTTTATGATCTTAACTTCACTTAGGTGAAGTTTCAAAGGATAGGATTAGCCATACCCCAAAGTAGCCAGCTGATCTTCAGCAAAAAAATAGGTAATGTCTTCTAATATCCTGATTTTCAGAAATGGAGAAGTTACAGACTTTGACAAGCTTAATGTATATATGTAGCAAAATAGTTTGTAAGTACTTGGAAAAGGAGGTAATCACCAAAACCCACTTGGATTTCTCAAGCACTAACCTAGTTCCTCTTTTTTTTTTTTTGAGATGGAGTCTTGCACTGTTGCCTGGGCTGGAGTGCAGTGGTGCAATCTTGGCTCACTGCAGCCTCTGCCTCCAGGGTTCAAGCAGTTCTCCTGCATTAGCCTCTCAAGTAGCTGGGATTACAGGTACCCACCACCAAACCCAGCTAGTTTTTTGTATTTTTAGTAGAGACAGGGTTTCACTATATTGGCCAGGCTAGTCTCAAACTCCTGACCTCGTGATCTGCCCTCGGCCTCCCAAAGTGCTGGGATTACAGGTGTGAGCCTCCACGTCAAGCCTAGTTCCTCTTTTTTTTTTTTGAGACAGAGTTTTGCTCTTGTTGCCCAGGTTGGAGTGCGGTGACTTGATCTCAGCTCATTGCAACTTCTGCCTCCCAGGTTCAAGGGATTCTTATGCCTCAGCCTCCCAAGTAGCTGGGACCACAGGCACAAACCAAGCCTAGCTAATTTTATATTTTTAGTAGAGAAGGGGGTTTCACCATATTGGCCAGGCTGGTCTCGAACTCCTGACCTCAAGTGATCCACCTGCCTCAGCCGCCTCAGCCTCCCAAAGTGCCGAGATTACAGACGTGAACCACTGCACCTGGCTAGTTCCTCTTTTGATAAGTCTGTTAACATTACTAAGTCAGGCTGGGCATGGGGGCTCACGCCTGTAATCCAAGCACTTTGGAGGCCAAGGCGGGCGGATCACCTGAGGTCGGGAGTTCAAGACCAACCTGACCAACATGGTGAAACCCCGTCTTATTTAAAAAAACAAACAAACAAACAAACAAACAAACAAAAAGTATAAGTCACAGGAACAGAATCAGTATAAATTGGTTCCTGAGAGGGTTTCCTAACAGTCTTGTAATAAGAAAGAGATGGCCTTGATGGTGTAGTATGTGGACATCTATCCAGATATTTAAACAAATTGTTGACTGCTGAATTAGTGTGATTTTGGTCTCTATTGATATTTTATAAGGCTCTGTCTTATTCAACTTTATTTTTTAAATCAGTGATTTGGATGAAGGCATTGGAAACGTGATTTGAGGATGAAGCAACCCAATGTTGCTAATATAATAGATGACAGTGGCAACTGAAAACAGTCCCAGAGTGACCCCATCAAAATGAAATTAAACAGATTAGAAATGTAACATATTCATTTAAATTAAATAAGTTGTATAAGTTTGGGCTGAAGAAACCTGGCTTTATATCATTTCATATAAGAAAGACTTGGGGATTTCAGTTGGTTTCAGATTCAAAATGAACCAACTAGTATTCATGTTATTATTATATGGTAACAGAAAAATTAGTGGTACTTCAGGTTTTCTCAGTAGACGTGTCACAGCCATAGCCAGAATACCTCTAACATGTTGCATTTCACCATTGTGGTCACTTAAGTGTGTATCCAGAAGAAGTGACCAGGATGGTGAGGAGTCCAGAACCCCTATCACACAGGGAATAGTTAAAGGAACTAGGGATATTTAACGGGAGAAGAGAACATTTGGGGAGAGAGCAAGATTCCTTTCCTGTTGAAGCCCTCTCATGCAGAAGAAGGAGTGAGCTTCCAATGTGCTGCAGAGCTGGGAGCAATGGGTGAAAGTTGCAGGAAGTTAGTTTTAATTCTGTAGAAGGCAAGAGTAGGGTAGACCAAAATCAAATGATCTCTGGGGTCAGGCTGGTGGAGACCATAACACTGGCGAGCAGGTGCGCCAGCTCGGGCTAAACTACTGCTGAGTTCTGGTTGTTGCTGCTGCTCTACAGGTCCAGGGTTGTTAGATCTTCTGGGTTTTTGTTTTGCTTTTTGAAATAAGGAAAATAAGTTTATCTTTAGTTTTCCTTGGATATACTTAGATTCCATACAGTAACAATACAAACACACAGGGAAAACAAACATCTGGATTTCATCCTTGACCTCATTTACAAAGCAAAAAGAGATGGCTGGATTCAGATATAAATGTTTAATTTTACAGTGTTTAAGTCACCAAATCTTCTGGCTTTTTAAAAGCCACAAATCTAGATTTTTATGTGAAAGCTCTCAATTAAGTATTGGGAACCAATTTCAAGATTTTTAAAAATGTTATACAGGCTCAACATGTCTGGGAGCCATAAATGATCTATGACCTAACATTTCCCATTTTTAATCTCTGAACTAGGTGATCTCAGTTTTTTCAACTCCAGTACTCTGTAAGTTTGTGTGACCTGTAATGTGCCATTCTCAGGTGGTGATATGGTTTGGATGTTTTGTCCCCTCCAAATCTCATGTTCAAAATGTGACATTCAGTGTTAGAGGTGGGCCTAGTGGGAGTTATTTGGGTCCTGGGGGTGGATCCCTTATGCATGACTTTGTGCCATCCCCATAGGAATGAGTGAGTTCTCACTCTGGTAGTTTATGCAAGAGCTGGTTGTTTAAAAGAACTTGGAACTGGGCCAGGCGCAGTGGCTCACGCCTGTAATCCCAGCACTTTGGGAGGCCAAGGCAGGCAGATCATGAGATCAGGAGATTGAGACCATCCCGGCTAACATGGTGAAACCCTATCTCTACTAAAAATACAAAAAATTAGCTGTGCGTGGTGTTGCATGCCTGTAGTCCCAGCTACTTGGGAGGCTGAAGCAGGAGAATCACTTGAACCCAGGAGGTGGAGGTTGCAGGGTGCCAA